AGAAAGATTGTTGCCTGAAACTGATCAATTGGCTCCTTTCGTGGCCGCTGCTCTGTGGCATGTGAAGTCTGGTACAGTGGTTGAGATTCTGTGTATCCCTCACTCGTGGACGAAACCAAAGGAACCTGTGTAGCTTCTGGTTGTACAGAAACTTGATTAGGCTGAGCAAATCTAGATTCAGAATGAACAGGAGGGCAAACCAGCTGGGGCATGTCCATGTTTTGTGTTGGATTCATAGGTTGTGCAGATACAATGGCAGGATCAAGAGTCTGGTTTTCAGAATCCAACATTGAATCCTGTATGAAATTATAGGGCCCCTGCATTTGTGCCATAAGATCTTGTACTCACTGTCTTCTCACGAGGGGTTCTGCCTGAGCCACTGGAGACAATGAGTGGGGCTCTGGTACTGAAGGAGATGCAGCCTGAGGATGCTGCTGGAGTGAATTTACCACCTCAATGGTTTCCACTGTCCATTCATCTACTGCTCCTTCTCACCACTGCTGAACTGGGTTTCTGCCATAAATTGTCTATTTACATACTCTGTTGATTGGACTTCACTTTGCTCAGTGTATTCTTCTGCTGGCTCAGGTTCAGCTTCAGCAACCTGGTCTTCCACTGTAGGTGCTGAGGCTGCCTCCTCTTCCTCACACAGACCATTCTGGTGGTTATGGGTGCTGTCAAAGTAGTTTGACTGAAATACACGCTCAATGATTTCCTTTAGAGCCTTATAAGTTGTCCCACACACAGATTTTTCCTTCCCCTCCAGCAAGTCCCACAGGTGAATGGAGGCATGTTCATACTGCCCGTTCAACCTTAGGCTCATGTCCCTCTCGGGATCCACTAACATGTAAAACTCGTCCAGCAGTGAAAACTCCTCCTCCGGGAGGATCGGTACTCCGGTCAAGCCTTGTTTCAAGTCACTTCTCACTTCATCATCTCCTAATTTGTCCAAAACATACTGTACCTCAAGTACAGTTTTTAAACATTTCTGTTCAGCTTCTTCTCTCATAAGCTGTTCCTGGCGTGCTGTCTTCTCTATTGTTTTCTGAATATCTTGACTTAATGCCATAAAACTCCTCTGTAATTCTTTTTCAAATTCCAAATTATTTGTGACTTCCTGGTACTTAGCTACAGCATCCAGCTGATCTTGATTAAACCTCTCTCCTTTGTTCATTCGTTCCTGGTAATCATCAAGCTTACCCTTTTTCTTCTCCAGGTTCCGAAGTTTCTTGTCGATTACCCCAAGGATCTGCTTCATGGCCTCCGTCTGGACCGCGCCAGTGCTGGGTGCTGGGTGCTGAGTAGCAGGCGCAGCTGCCCCGGCCCCCGCCGCCGCCTCACTCCCGGAGGAACCCGATGGGGGTGGCGGTCCGGACGACTTGCTGCCGCTGCCGCTGCCGCTGCAGCTGGTGGCCGAGGGCATCTTTGAGGCTGAGAGGAGAGAGAAGAAAAAGCGGGAGGAAGGACAAGAGCGGCGAGTCAGGACTGGTGTGGTAGTTTAACAAATGGTCAACTTGGAACACCCAGCTGAACTGAGTCAGCATGTTTCTGGGCGTGGAAGACCCACCTGAGGATTGTTGCCAACAGTCTAAAAAAGGAATTGGAGAAGATTGTATGCTATTGATTTTCCTGGAGAAGCTTGCTGTGGCTGGTTTTCCTGACATGAACTTGGCTGTTCTCTTCCTCAGAGGAGCTTGAGTCCTCACTGTCACTGGGGATGGCTTCTGTTCTTGTCAGGGGAGCTCTGGTCTTGGCCTTGCCTGGTGGTACAGATCCTTCACCCCACCAGTGCAGACTTTCTAGCTTCCACCACTGGCCCTTGATCCCTCCCAGTGCAGATCCTTGATACAAATTCACATGAGGTGTTGCTGTGGGCTCCAGGCTTCCAGCTGGACTCGTCAGGAACATTGCCATGAGATCCAGATCCTTAGCTGGATTCTTCTGGTGTCTAATGTGTGGACAGATCTCTTGTACTCCTCTGAATTTGATTTTTTTGATAAATATTATAAAATAAATTATGTGTCCTGTATTCTCTTGCAAACCCTGACTATAACAGATGTGTAGGTGTCCAATGTGGCAGGCACAATACTGGGTCCACAGGGTTTGGTTTACAATTGTGCTAGGTCTGATGTATGAATTGAAGAGTTCTCTGAAGGAGGTCTTCCAAAAGAAGGAAAGGATTTGTCTTGCTCACACTCTGTCTGTGAGCCAGAGTGACCTGATCTTGGTGAAACTGTACCTGTTGTCCAGTGGAAAACGAAAAAAAAGTATATATAAAGACATTTTAAAAAGAAAGCCTCCAAGATTATCCAGTGTCCTTAATCATGTTATGTCCTTTGTTTTCTGAAACTTCCTTCTTTTAAATTTGCTATCTAAAGTTCCTTTACCTACCAGGAGGAAGTGTTCTGGGCAAAACACCTAGTTATTGAGCAAGGTGATTCTCTTTTTCTAAATTAATACATTAGCATTTCTGTTTTACATATTTCCAAGAAACAAATTGTTGAGTCAGTTCTTCTCTTAGTTACCTTCTTGCTGCTGAGAGAAAATACCTGGCATTCTCACATTAAAGGAGGAGAGGTTTGTTTTGACTCACCGTTTGTACAGGATTCAGTCCATAGTTGGCTGGCTCCAAGGCAGGGTGTCATGGCAGAGGGGGCTGGCAGAGATATAGTTTATGGTATAGCAAGCGGGAAGCAGAGAGCCATCAGGGGAGGAGGAAGGAGAAAAAAGAAAAATATATATATATATGTTGTTCCAGGTCATGCCCATAGAAACCCACCTCTTCCCACCAGGCTTCACCTTCCAACATCACACCCAGCTATAAATCTGACTAATCCAGTATCACATATCCATGATCCAGTCACCTCCCCAAAAGTCCCACATATGAGTGCATGAGGCTTTGAGGGGACATTTAGATATAAGCCATAACAGTTCCCCAAAGACTAATCACTTTTAGAATAAGTACATACAATATAAATTCTAGGCAAGTTGATATGAAATGTGAGTCTAAATGATCGCAAACTTGTATTCAGTGAAGCCCCTTTTTAGAAAAAGTGCCTCAAAGTATGCATCCTGGTCCATCACCTCAAACACTGGATCCCATCTGCTCCTTTTACATCATTGCTTTCTCATACTTTTTTTGTAGCCAGTGATCCTGGATCTCATTCTCATTTTGTAGCTTTGATACAAACTATGCAAGCCCACAATTTTACCTTCTTTCTTTCTCCCCTTCCCTCCCTCTCCTTCTTCCTCCCTTCCTCCATCTCTCTTTCCTTCTCTTTGTCTCTCTCTTTCTTTTGCAGTGCTTGTGATTGCAGCCAGGGCCTTGTATATGCTAGGCAGGCACTTTACCAACTGGGCTGTACTCCTACTTCTGATCTTGTTGGCAATTCTTCCACCGCGTTCTGACTACGCATCATGGATAGAAGAAATAATATTACTTCTTGCAATTTCAATTTTTGACATGCTTCCTTAGAACATTGACCCTAGATTTTGTCCTTACTGTCTGACTAGCTCTTTCCAGGTTTCTCCTAAGGCAATGATCCTGGTAAGTCATTAACTGACATCATGATCTATCTTTTTAGTAAAGAGCACAGATTCTGAGCCAGATTGCCTTTGAATTGTGGCTCTGACTCTTGCTAGTTGTGTAATCTTGGGCAAGTCACAAATGCCTTGGTTTCTTCATCTGTGAAATGGAGATGGTAACAGCACCTCCTCATAGGACTGCTGTGGCTGAATATAACTGCTGTTGTGGCTGGGGAATGTAGCTCAGTGATAGAGACTCTGGAGGCCTCTAGCACCAAAGCAAAAAAATTACTGTATCTAGCACATAAGTGCACCTCATGTGACAATTATTATTATTATTACTATTATTATTATCCCTTCTCTGAGGAAGTGAAGGTGTGGTTTATCAGTTGTTTGAATGAAGAGAAAGTAACAGGGTACAAAGAGAAAAAGTAGGTTCATATTTAAAAGTATTTCATTTTACCCCAGAGGCAATTATCACATTTGCCAAATACAAGTGACCCCATGTTTTGCTCTTGACATTTAATGTCAGCAGTTTGAATTTTCTATCATTATGAATGTATAATTCCCATTTCTCCTGTGTGTGTAAATCACTTCAGCCCAATTAATTTTTTTCATCCTGGGAAGTCATCAGGACTACCTTTTCCTTGATAACCTTCAAAGATTCCGAGCAAGTGGTAGGCAAATATTTACCAGGAAGACCAAACCCTGCCAATACTTAAGTCTAATAAACAAGCAACAGAAGGAGAACACAACCTAAATTTTACTGGAATCTGAGTTAATAAATAAAGACCACAGAACAAATGGCAAACAACTACTTGAATTCTATCAGAATAGAAAAGGAAACAATGAATCTAGATCTCTAGTCCAAAACTATTATGTTATATGATTAATAGAGCTAACAACCTATTACATATTAGAAAATCCTCTAGAAAAATTTAAAACAAAAGTAACAACTTGGATAGAGTATAATTGATGCTTACAGATATATTACACAATTTTGCACCTGAGGGAATACTTTCATTTTTCTTCAAGATTAAATAAACTGAGCATTTCATCTTGGCAATTATTAACCTGCTACATATTTATAACTGAGTAAAAATTTGGCCTCTTTCCATGTTTTAGTTGAAATTACACTTTAATTCATATTTTTTATGGGTAACAGCTTATTATCCTTAGTACCTATAAAACAAAATTTCAGCTGAACATTGGTTTTATTTAATCTTCAGGTTAGCATCACTAAAGTTAAAGTACTGAAATTCTCTGGATGAGCCCAATAGTAGTTAGAAATAATAATAAAGATTATTACTTTGTATTTTATAAAAACTCATACAGACAGGGATAAATGAAAATATAGTATTGGGATTTGTCCCTAAATATTTTTCTTTCTGTTTTAAATTTTCCCTTCCAGTTAAACCTATTTCTTCATTTTGTTCTTGGAGTAAAGCCAGAATCAACACTGTCTCTATTTCTAATCAAATAATGGAGAGAAAGGAAAACAACCAACAACATAAATTCTGAATGCAGTTAGAGGACCCTCAAGGCAGTGTCTGATGAAGCCTGAGCTGTGTCTCTGACTCATTTCTGACTTTGGGTAAGTTGTTTAATGTCTCTGTGCTTTTGTCATGAATGTGACAATACTAATTTATTTCATAGGGATGATAGTAATCATAACTCAAGAAGTAACCGTTGTCTTATGAGAGAGACAGGGTTGATTAGCAGGAGACAGCTTCTGCAACTTGGAAAATAGATTTAGGATTACATCTTATTTCCACTCTCTTTATGTTTTGAATAAGTGGGATGGGAGTTTGAGGTAAATGATAGGACCTGCAGTTTCAACAAAATGGAAAATAAACAGGACCATATTATAATTTTCACTTCACTAATGTTTTTCTTTATTTAATCTATTTGGAGACCAAAGGTACTTAGCTTTTTTTTTTTTTTTGGTACCAGGGATCGAACTCAGGTCCTTGCACTTGGGAGGCAGGTGGCAGAACCACTGAGCTAAATCCCTGGCCCAGGACTTAGCTTTTTAAGGCTTGCATTGTCACCAGTTTTTTATTTTCTATGAAATCTAATGCTAAGCACTATTTATATGTTATACTGTATATTATATAATATAATGTTATATAATTAGTTATATATACATACACATATGTAGAATTATATGTTACATGTAAATGAGCACTGTAAAAACATACTTTTTCACTTATTTAAGAGCCAGAATCAGACACTGGATAAAAATGTTTTAAGCTCCTTAAGTTTTTTAGAGATAATATATTCATTTCTGAAACAATGTGGGTGATTCCATAACTGCAAAAAAGAACTTGATGAAACATAAGAAATAATAACTTCAGTGACATTAAAACAAAGCCTGGAAAGCATACAAATTTCATCATTTAATCCTGGACTCCTGAGACTCTAATCTGACAGTTGGAAGCGGATTAAAATAATGATCTGTTGTTATCTCAAGAAAAAGAGGATATTATGTTTACTACCGATTCTTAGCAGCTCATTTCATCAATGAAAATCCCCAATTAACTATATGGCGGATATAACAGACTAATTTATATAAAATAGAGTTTATTTAGTTTATGGTCCTGATATCTGCTCAGCATTTAGTGGGGGACTTCATGTTGGGTCTTGGCATGGTGCAAGATATCACGTAGTGACACAGCGCAAACGCCAGAGGATTGTGCTTCTATAACAAGCCACTTCCTTGATAACCCACTGACTCAATAATACATAGATGAATTAATCCACTTATGAGGGCAGAGCCTATGTAATCCATACCCACAAGGGCCCATTCAGAAATTTTTCTCTGCCATTATTAAAATGCTATTCTCTTATTGTGAAGGAAAATACTAAAACATGTTATAGGTTGTTTTGTTTTGTTTTGTTTTGTTTTGAGACAGAGTGTCACTTTGTAGTCCAGGCTGGCCTTGAACTCATGGGAATCCTCCTGCCTTAGCTTCACGAGTGCTGGGATTACAGACATGTGCCACTATACCTGGATAAACTAGTGATTTTCTGGTGGTAGAAATTAGAAGACTAGAATCTATTTCCTTTTTGAAACATTACCTAAGAATATTTAGAAAATGTATGCTGACACTTTCTTATTCTTGTTCACTATTACTAGTTTACTTCTTAACCTTTCTTTTCAAATATCCTTTCCTGCTCTAATTCAGTTTAAGCGAAGAGCATTACTTCTTAATAAAATGTCTACCAATTCATAACTGATCTATCCTTTCAACTATTCAATTTTTTAAAAATTCAGCTACAATGAGTAAGGAATAAAATTTGCTCAGATTTTTAGAAATCAAAATATATTACATAATTTCAAATGATGAAATAGGTAGCCCACAGATATATCTATAACTATTTGGGGGGGATCTAGTCAGTAGAATATATATAACATAAAATTTACTGTTGTTTTAGTCACTTTCTTGTCACTGGGACAAAAGACCTATAACTTAAGGGAGGAGAGATTTCTTTTGGCTCATGTGTCAGTCCATGTCAGCTAGCTCCAAGGCAGAAACAGCATGGTGGTAGGGTCTTGGAGGAAAACTGCTCACATCATCGAGCCCAGGAAGCAGAGAGAAAAGGGAGGAGCTGAGGAGAGAGATCTACCCTTCCAGGTCACACCCCAGTGACCCACCTCTTACCCCCACCTCCTAACAGCAAGTCAGAAATGAACTCATCAGTGGATTAATCTTCTAATGAGTATAGTGACCCGTGATCCAATCATTTTCCAAACACATGAGACTTTTGGGGGACCCCCAGGTCTAAACCATAAAAATTACTTTGATCATTTTTAAGTGTAGATGCAACAATCACCACCATCAACCTCTACAACTTTTTAAATTTACCAAACTGAAATTCTGAATCCATTAAAAAGTAGCTCTTCATTTCTCCTTGATTCTTGTTCTTGAAGTCACCATTCTACTTTTTGTCTCTGTGAATTGAATACTCTAGGTACCTTATGAAGTAGAATCTACAATATTTGTCTTTTATGACTGGTTCATCCAAATATTTGTTTGAATTCCTGCTTTCAATTATATCTTTTTTACAACATGGAGGGTTTATTTTTCTTTTTAAAATTACATATTTTTAAATAATGTTTTGTTTGTTTTCTTGTTTTGCTCAGTCTGGCCTTGAGCTCACTATGTAGTCTTGGCTGGCCTTGAACTCTTATTAGTGATCCTCCTGCTTCAGCCTCCTGAGGGCTGGAATTGCAGCTGTGTGCCACTATACTTGGCAAGTAGCTGATGCTCCAGCCCACTCTCTGTGGCCCTCAAAATTTGACCAAGCAGGGGACTTGAGGATTGCTTCCTCCTTCATTAGTTTGATTTCTGATTTTTCATAATGGACTTTAACCCCTCCATAGGAGTGGCTGATTTTGGTAAACAACACATCCACTCAAACTACTTCTCTCGTTAGAGTGTTTCAATTTTTAAATTTTTTTTTTCGGTACTAGGGATCAAACTGAGGACCTTGCTCTTGCCAGGCAGGCACAGCACCACTGAGCTAAATCCCCTACCCTTCAATTTTTTTTTAAACTGGGATTTGAACCAGGGGCCTTCACCCTGAGTTCCATCTCCGGTCCTTTTTTTTTCTTTTTGAACAGATACCATTCTATTCAAGGTTATCCTGAGAATTACTTTGTGAAGGCAGAAGCCTGGGAACATCTGCGACAATTTTCTAGGTGACTCACAGGTTAGAGATGGCCTGGAATCTCTTCAGAACTCCTGGAGCTCCTTGAGTCTAAATCTAACTCTGGTTTCATGAAAAATTCAAAGTTGATACATCGGCAAAAGTCTAGGCTGGGGACATAGCTCAGTGGTAGAGCACTTGCGTAGCATTTGTAAGGCCCTGTCAATCTCTAGCACAAGGGGAAAAAGAAGTTTAAAAACTAGTTTTTGTTCTTGCAGTTCTTTCAATGGAAAAAATGGCGAAGACACTTGGTTTCATCCTTGTCGCCACTGTTCTGATAATGGTCGGGGAAAGCTGGGTAAGCTTATGTGGAAACCATTATTGTGTTAGAAATGTCTGCTTTGAGCTGGATTTTCTTTTATGTTGCAGAAACCCAAAGTAACTTGTCACTGGAAAAATTTAACTAAAAATGAGGGGAATGAAAAACTTTATGGGAACACTTGGCACACAGGAACACTGAGAAAATGTTAAAAAGATTTTAAAAAATAAAAACCCATATTAATTTGCTGGATTATTTCCTTTTTACATAAAATCAAGAAGGTAAAACTGGTCATAAGAATTAGAATTGACCTAGGATTTTTTAATATTGAACTCTGTTAGTGTAGACTACCCAGGTTCTTTTCTTTTTCCTTTTTTTTGGTGTGATATTGGGGATTGAACTTGGAGCCTTTGCACTGAGCTCTATACCCAGCCCTTTTTAAACTTCTTAAATCTTGAGACAGGGTCTTACTAAGTCACTAAATTGCCAAGGCTTAGCTTGAACTTGCCATCCTCCTGCCTCAGCCTTCCAGAGTACTGGGATTACAGGTGTTCACTGACATCATTCTTGGTTTATACAGATTCTTTAAAAGTAATTATAGTGAACTTGTGTCTGCTTCCATTCATGAGCCAAAAAAGAAGAAGATATCCATTTACCCAAAGTTCTGGGAAAAGGAAAACTTGTAAGCTTTAAATAACCCATACATACAGTTGCAAGACTGGGCACACTTGGCTTGTACAGTAATCCTGACAATAATTTTTAAATTGCAGTAGTGAATTATAATTAAAATATTCCTACTGTTGTTAACTACACAGGATTCAGACAGCATAAAATTTTCTTCTTGTTCATTTTTTATCCTGTGTGACTCAAATCACTCTCTTAAAGAGGATAAATCAAAGCACAATAAGAGGGTACCAACAGCAAATAGGAAGTAATTATAGAGAAAATGGCAGAGATTCAGTGACTTGGGCTAGAGAGGAGAGGGAGAGGCTTTTATCACTCTCTTTTGCTATATGATTTTCAGTTTTGAAGTTGAATAGCTGTTCTCCTGAAAGCTATAGTTTGAATTCACAGTCTTTTATAGGAAAGCAGTATAATCTCTTTCCTTTATCCTAAATAACTTATCTAATTGGCCTATTGTGATGGTCTAGCAAAGTGCCTGGAATGCAGCAGGTCTCCATTTACTTATGGAATAAATACAAGGCTGTATATAATGATGGGAGCAGGAAGTTATATATATGTATATATTAGGAAATGTATCTGACTATAATTGAAAGACTTTCAGGAAATCATCTGTCTAAAAGTATATAAGGTGATAACATATTAAAATTCATAATTTCTACATCTGGGTGTAGTGGTACACACCTGTAATCTCAGAACTCTGGAAGGCTAAAGCAGGAGACTGCAAGTTTGGACTCAGCCTGGGCAACTTAGCAACTTTGCAAGACCTTGTCTCCAAATAAAAAATAAAAAGGACTGGGGATGTAGCTCAGTGCAAAGGTCCTGGGTTCAATATCTAGTGCTGCCAAAAAAAAAAGCAGCAAAACAAAGAAAAACAATAAATGTTTTGTCTCTGTCTCACAGCCTGGCCCAATTACATCACCATCAGTTCACTCAGTACCATATTCAACAAATATTTGTTGTCTGACTGAATCTTGTTATGGTTCTACAGTTGCATAAGCAGTTAATAGCACATTATTACCCAATTGCAGATTGATCTTGTTTTTAAGTCTGAGATGTTTTTAAAACTATTGAATCTGCTTAAAGTAAAATTTAGCTCTTTGATAAATCTGTATCTGGACATGTCCAAAGGTGTTAAAATATTGGTTTCTCATGAAATATACTAAAAGATATATGATTGGATTGAAGTAAGTATAGTACATTTGGGCTGGATGTATGTGTCTCAGTGGTAAAGCAGTTGTCTGGTGTGCACACGGTCCTGGTTCTCAGAAGTAATCATTATTTCCTAGAAGTAAACATTTATGCTTATCAGAGAAGATCATGACATGAGCTGCAAATAGGTAGAAATGAAAAAGGTAAAAATGAAAAAAAAGCAAAAATTTAACCTGAAGCTCTTTTCATGACCCTTAGTGGCTTTTCAGGTATTGAATATTCAAAAGTCTTCATTGTAACCTCTTGGTCTCAGTAGCTCTTCCTTAGGAGATCCACCTCTGCAACTTTCCTTCCCAATGTATCTACCAAATCTGCTTTATCTTTAGAGACTTCTGCCCAGTCAGGTGCCACAGAGAAAGGCATTGATAAGCTGGTGGCCACCCCCAGAGCCCCAGCACTCAGGAATGGTGAGCAGCAGGATCACAAGTTTGAGCCCAGCCTGGGCAACAGGTGGACATAGTGAGACCCTGTCTCAAAATGAAAAATTAAAAAAAGGTTGGGGATGCAGCTCAATGCAAAGGCCCTGGGTTCAATTCTTAATACTATACACACACAAAGGTATGGTTAGACTCAGTTGTAATATATTTTGGTTATTTGCCTTTTAAGAGAAGATAAATGATATAACTGGGCTGATTCAGTTTCTGCCATCTCTTTTTCAAGTAGCTGAGAGAAAAATTTAAAAAAACAACTCCAGTAGACTTCCTAGCCACAGGTACATGAGTGAGGTACTGAGGGGGTATGAGTGTCTAAATTAGCATCCCTTATAAAAATGACCATATGTCATCAAATTAGAAGCATTGACTCATTTTAGAAGCATATTTTCCTTAAAGTCATTCAAAAGCCTCATTTATTTAGGGGTTGAGATACTAATGATACTATTAAGTTCTGCAGAGCCCTTCACTGTTTTGTGGAAAAGGCACAGGTGGTATCATGGACAGGTGGAGAGCTTGGCTCTTGCACTGGATCAGACTTCTGCTAATCACAAGGTATTCATGAGGAAGTCTTTTCATCAGGATCGAACCCATTCTGGCCTTATGGATTGTTATGGGAATCAAAGCTCTTAGCAGTCATTCTGACTATTTTATACTATATCGATCTGCAGTTCAGAAGCTCTAGCATAAGCCATGATTTCCTATTCTTCAAATGACAAATAGTATTAGAAATTTCCAAACCACTGTATCATTGGAATAATATTCTTGATGGGAGTTAGAGACAAAATTGAATAATTGATTTATCTGAATTATTAGCAGCATTTATTTTCCATGGAAATGAGATCTGCATTGCCTTGCAGGCCCTGGAGAACTGTTCCCAGGAGCAGGCACGGCTCAGAGCACAGGTGCACCTGCTCGAGACCCGGGTCAAACAGCAACAGGTCAGGATTGAGCAGCTTTTGCATGAGACGGAAGTCCAGCTCCTCGATAAAGGAGAGGAGAATAGTATAACTGACCTTGGAAGCAAGAGGCAGTATGCAGGTAAGAATCGATTTTTCTTAAGATTTTCAATAACTTTTATATACACTCATGTACAAACAACATGAAACATTATATCAATTTAAAATGTCTTCTACCATGTTTTACACTTTTCTCTAATGTTTTCTTTCTTTTTCTTTTCCTTTTTCTCTTTTGTTTTTTGTGACAGGGTCTTGCTATATAGTTCAGGCTGGTCTTGAACTCACTGTGTAGACCAGGCTGGCCTTGAATTCAAAGCAATGCTCCTGCCTCAGCTTCCAGAGTGCTGGAATTACAGGTGTGCACCACCACACCTGGCCTCTCTCTATAATGTGCTCAAGCAATATTTACTAAGAATACAAAATATCTGAGAATTTCTGTAGTTTAATAAAAAATCAAGACAATAGATTTTATTTTTATTTTTCAATTTTAATTTTTTATTAGTATGTGTTTGTGATACGTACTGATCACATTCCTGGTGGGGAGTTGGTACATGTACATAAAACATCTCAGTTATCTTTTATCCCCTTCCCCCTTTTCCCTCCCTGTACCCCATCTCTTAGTCCCCTTCCCATCTGCAAAAGATCTCCCTATTTCCTATCAAAACAATAGGTTTTTAAATATGAGTGTACAGATGGCAGATTATAGCTGTGAATTTTTTCAGGTTTTATTTTTTATCAGTACATATTTCCAATACATAATGATTAGATTCCTTATGGGAAATTGATACGTATCATGGAACATCTTAATTTTTTTTTCAACCTCTGTCCCTCCCAGCTACCCCCTTACCTTTTAATCCCCTTCCATACAAGAAAGAATTTATCTCTTTATTTATTATGGTCTTTTATTTTGTACTTTACTTATATTTTGGGTTTCTCATATAAGATAAACTATGTGATATTTAAGCTGTGTCCAACTTATTTCACTTAATATTATGGTCTCAAGGTGCATCCATTTTCTTACAAATGACTCAAATTTATCTTTTTATGGCAAAGAAGTACTCCATTATGTATAAATGCCACATTTTCTTTATCCATTCACCTGTTGATGGACACAAATGGTGCTTCCAAAATTTAGCTATTATAAACTGTGCTGCTATAAACATGGGTATGTATGTATCACTGTAATAAGATGTTTTTAACTCTTTCAGTAAGATAGGGGTGGAATAGTTGGGTCAAATGGAATTTCCAGTTTTAGTTTTTTGAGGAATCTCCATACTGGTTGCCATAGTGATTATACTAGTTTACATCCCCACCAACAGCATAATAGAAGTGTTCCTTTTTCCCACAGCCTCACCAGCATTTGTTATTTGATATCTTGATAGCCATTCTTTCTGGAGTAAGATGGAGTTTCAGTGTGTTTTAATTTGAATTTCTCTAACAGACAGAGATGTTGAACATTTTTTTCATGTATTTATTGGTCATTTGTACTTCTGAGAAGTGTCTATTCATTTCAGTTGCCAATGTTTGGATTATGTCTTTTATTGTGGGTAGTCTAGCTTTTGAGTTCTTTGTATATTCTAGATATTAGTTGTCTACCTGAGGAATATTTGGAAAAATGTTTTCCCATTCTATAGATTATTTCTTCACTCTGTTAGTTGTTGTGCAGAAGCTTTTTAATTTGATATGATCACATTTATTGAGTCTTAGTAGTATTTTTTGTGTAATTGGGGTTCTGTTTAGAAAGTCTTTGTCTATGTCTGTTCTTCAAGAGTTTTACCTATTTTGTCTTCCAAAAGACTAAGAATTTCTATCTTAACATTTAGATCATTAATCCATTTTGATTTTAGTTTTAGTATATGGTGAGAGATTTGGGTCTAGATTCAATCTTCTGCATGTAGATAGCCAGTTTTCCCTGCACTGTTTGTTAAAGAGGCCATCTTTCCTCCAGTGTAGGTTTTGGCCCCTTTGTCAAAGATCAGATAACTGAATGCCTGGAGTTGTTTTTGCATTCTCTATTTTGTTTGATTAATTTACAAGTCTGTTTTTGTGCCAATACCATGCAGTTGGGGTTTTTTTTGGGGGGGGGGGGTATTTGTTTGTTTTGTTTGTTTGTTGGTTGGTTGGTACTGGGAATCAAACTTAGGACTTTGTGCTTGCCAAGCAGCTGCAGTACCATGAGCTAAATCCCTGGCACTCTGCAGTTTTTATTACTGTAGCTTTGTGATACAACTTCAAGTCCAGGATTTTAACGGTTCCTGCTTTGCCTTTAGTACCCTGGATTGCTTTTGCTAGTCTAGGTCTCTTCTGGTTCTGTTTAGGATTGTTTTCTTCAGTTCTGTGAGAAAAACTGTTGGTATTTTGATTGAGATTACTTTAAATCTGTATAGCAGTTTTGGAAATATAATTATTCTGACAATATTGGTTCTGCCTATCCAAAACAGGAGATAGCTTTCCATTTTATGATATCCTTTTCAGTATTCTTTTTCAGAGTACTGTAGATTCATTGTGGAGGTCTTTCACTTCTTTGGTTAGGTTAATTCCTAGATATTTAATTTTTTTATGTTATTGTGAATGGTATTTTTTTTCTAATTTTTGTTAACAAGTTAATTATTGGTGTATAGGAACACTATTGATTTTAGTGTGTTGATTTTGTTTCCTGCTACATTGGTGAGTTTGGTTATTAATTTTAGGAATCATTTGGTGAAATTTTTTGGGTCTTTTGTGTAAAGGATACTGTCATTTGCAACTAAGGATAGTTTGACTTCTTCCTTTCCTTTATGTACCGCTTTCATTTCTTTCTCTTGCCTGATTGCTCTGGTAAGGTTTTGAGTACTACATTGAACAGGAGTGATTGTGGACCTCCTTGTTTTGTTCTTGATTTTACAGGGAAAGCGTTCAGCCTTTCCTCACTGAATATCATGCTGGCAGTAGGTTTGTCAAAATGGCTTTTATTGGATTGAGATAAGGTCCCTTTCTACCTATTTTCTTCAAGTTTTTTTTGTTCCATGAATGGATTTTGGCTTTTTCTGAATCTATTGAGATGATCATGTATTTCCCCTTGCTTCTGTTTATGTGATGTATTGCATTTATTGGTTCGCATAATATTATGGCTTGTGTCTAGATGTTCCCCCAAAGCCTCATGCAGTCTTAGGTGGGGCTTTTTCAGAGGTGGCTGGTTCTAGAGTATGTAATGCTAGGATTGATTCACGATGCAATGCTAGGATCAAGGGCTCTAGGGTCAAGAATGTGAGTGCTACCCATCCAAAATAGCCTGAATAAGATGTAAGAGATAGAAAGGGCTGTGGTCATTCCTTGTTGCTCTGCTACCTTCTTCCTGCCATGAACTGTTTTTCCTCTGTGATGCCTGTCTGCCATGCCACCCTGCCTTGGAGCCAGCTGATTATGGACTGAAACCTCTACGGACTGTGAGCTAAATAAACCTTTCCTCTTTTAATCTTGGATGTCAGGTATTTGTCTCAGCAGCAAGAAAAGTAACTAAGACACATACATTGAACCATCCTTGCATCTCTGGGAGGAAGCCTAGTTGGTCATGATGTATAATCTTTTTGATGATTTGTTGCATTCTGTTTGCCAGGATCTTGTTGAGAATTTTTGCATATATATTCATTGAGGAGATTCGCCTATAGTTCTTTTGGTTGGATCCTTGTCTGGTTTTGGGAACAGGGTAGTGCTAGCTTTCAGGAATGACTTTGACTGACTCCTTCTCTTTTAATTTCATTAAAAGTATACCTGTGAATTTTTTGACTTTGTTGGGGGGGGGGGTGCGGTTTGAGACAGAGTCTTGCTATGCTGGCCTTGAACTCACTATTATAGCCCAGGCTGGTCTTGAACTTGTGGCAATCCTCTTGCCTCAGTCTCCTGAGTACTAGGATTAGAAGCATGTGCCACCACTCCTGGCTTTGACTTTGTTTTTATTTGTGTAGCTTTTTTGTTATGTTTATGCCGTTTCTTGGTTTGTTTGTTCAAGACAGGGTCTGTCTGTGTCCTCCAGGCTGGCCCAGAACTATTAGGGCTCAAGTGATCTTCCTGTCTTTGCCTCCTAATGAGCCGGATTATAGGTGTGTGTTACCATGCCTAATTTTCCCTCTGAAACCCTGATGTGCTCTAGGGTAAAAAATAATACAATAAAAAGGCAGGGAAAAAATACAAGCATATATATTAAGTAAAGTAAAAGGGTATATTTTTATTTGACAGTTTTCCTTTTGATTGGGCCAGTATGCCCCCGCTAAAACTAAATGAGTTGTGTTGTTTTTTTTTAACTCAAAATATCACTATGATATTGTTCAGGCTGGTCTTGAACTGCCTTGTAGCCCAGGCTGGCCTCAAACTCATAGTGATCCTCTTGCTTCAGCCTCATGAGTGCTGGGATTATAGGCATGTGTCAACAGGCTTGGCTGAAACTAAATGATCTTAAACTTTCAGCACATTATACCCATCTATACACATTTATTAATACTCTTCATCTGACTTCCTCTAGAAGCAAAACACTTCTATTAAAGTAAATAAACAGTTTTCAGAAATGAAGCAGATACTATCTAGAGCACTTCGTTCCTATGTCTAGTACTCCACTACCATGATCTATTATAATTTCTCTGTTTACAAGTCTCTCTTAGTCAATTAGCTCAGCACTGTGTAGAACTTGGGATGATACTTACTGCACATACATCTCTGTTGTTTATCAGATTGCATAGAGTATAGAAGATACTCATATTCATGAATGCAAGGCAATGTATAGCAAGATAAGTAAATATAAATTGGGAAACATGTCTGAATATAACTGAAAGATTGTAGATGCCAAAGAGATACCATGCTTTTAAGAATACAAATATCTTTATTTTGTGCTTCACCAGTTTAGGATATAAACTGTGAGAGTAGTACAACTTATGGTTTAATAAAATGCTCCTTTTTCTCTCCTTCCCAAGATCCTAATCTCTTTCTTCTCACACTCCTTGCCCTGGCTCCTGACCCTCCATTGTCCAGTGGTTATTTGCCTTTTACAAGAAGATAAATGACATAACTGGACACTGTGCAGCACCTTGATCCTTAGAGTCTAGTGCTTCC